TCCATGTATGTTTTTTTTATAAATTCAATGTTACTTTGCGAGTGTTATAATATTTGAGTCTGACTTTTGTTAAATTTGTTAAATACTGGTACTGTCTCAGTTTTCTGTTGACTGCTTATATTGCCCTGGAGGTACATCTGACATTTGAAATACATATATGTATACAAATATAGAACGTCATACTAGTGCATTTGGATGTTTGTATTGAACGAGAAAATGTCATGGAAGCAGAGAAACAACGATTACGTGAAGGTGAGTGAGTGAGTGAGTGAGTTTAGCTTTACGCTGCACCCAGCAAAATTCCAGCTATATGGCGGTGGTCTGTAAATAATCGAGTCTTGACCAGACAATCCAGTGATCAACGGCATGAGCATCGATCTGCGCAAATGAGAACCGATGGCATTTGTCAACCAAGTCAGCGAGCCTGACCACCCGACCCTACCCTACATTCAATCCCCGCACCTGGTCAGTCTCCAACATCGCGGTTAGGACAAACAACTTTGTTGAAGGTATACATTTCTTAATAAATTATTATTAAAGATTGTTATACTATTTTGGCATTTTCAAAATGTTTTGTAAAATTATGTGTTCTTCTGTTCAGGCTGGCGCAGGCGAATGACCAACAAGGTGGCAGAGCAGTCATTGGGGATTTACAGGCTCATCCCAGAGCTCCACTGTGAAGCCAGCCTCCTACCCTTTCAGACCAGATTCATTCAAGAGGGACGTCTGAAGGCATACATCCGAAAGTCATCATCAGCAAGACAGGATGAGGTCTTCCAACTGTTGAGTTTGTTCAAGGATGGTGACTTGTCTGTGTCCCAACTTCCCTCTAGATGTTCTGTGATCCATGGGCCAATCATTCAGTGAATGAATGAATATGACAATATGTGTAATGATGACGCTGCTGTTATAATCTTGTTGTTATCATCTTGCTAATGTGATTTTAATGAAATGAGTCAATGAGTGAGTGAGTATTGTTTTACGCTGCTGTTAGCAATATTCAAGCAATATCACATCGGGGAACTAAAAATAAATATATGTGTCGTTGTTATCTAGCTAATGTTATCAGGAAATGAAATATAAAACGACATACTTTGTTTTATATATGTTGTTATAATCTTGCTAATGTTATAAGGAAATGAAATATAAAATAAAAGTTCACGTCATACTTTGTTTTATATATGGTGCCGTTTTAGTCCAGAAAACAGTAGCCGTTTTCGCCAATATGGTGCCGTTTTCGCAAAATACAAATTTGGTGCCGTTCTGCTGTGGTACCGTTTTAGCTATTACTAATTAAGACACCGAAGCTGCATGGACACGTTCGTTCTACTGTTCATTGATTTGGTGTTACCAAATATTTATGCTGCCTCATCTTATCTGTAAGGCATGTTTGTCGAAGTGCATTGCTGACAACTGTGTACCATATGTTTTCAGAGGGCAGTATGGCCACAGATACGGATAAAACACACTTCATGTAAAACCCAACAAGTGTGAATCAGGTGCACAGTTGGTTTCACGACTTTCCTCGAACATCCGTGTCATCACAGCTTTTGTTAGTGTTTCATTCCTGAGAGAGATTATTATTGAAACGAATTTGTCGTCTTTGTTAACTGCTGAACACTAGAGGTAATATAGTGACGTGACACAAAAATTCGTGTCAGTTTTTCATCGCCCTGTCTTTGTGTAACCATACCCAACAAACCGCGTAGCATAAGCAGCTTGGGGACTTTGATGAAGAAAGAGTCACGCTATACGATTACTGTTTGGTGTGCACTATGTCTCGTACAGTAGTGTTTTATGACGAGAGCAGCAGTAGGCACAGACTAGCGAGCTCATATTTGATTAGCCAATACAATTTTATTCATAACGTCACAGGCTCATGAACAACAATATAGACGACACAGATTCTATGGAAAACTCCCATGCCTGGTGTGTAACGAAATACACAGACTTGCATAGTTAGACATGATGAATAACACACGGCTGAGAAATACAGGGCCAAATGTCAGCTCACATAAGGCTGCTGTAAGGGAATGAACATAAGATAATTGTTAAGGTATGTTTACGAAACACACTTATGTCCTTGGTTAAAATCTTCAGCACCCAGGTCTCAGCGGGGATGCTGAAAACATCTGAATGTTTACCACCGCATTTATGACAAATCGTACTTATCGTACGGTAAAACGCTGACTATAAATGCAGTCCATTTGGTAGGCTCATATGGCATTGAGTGATTCAGTGTCCATAATTTCATTCGGAAATAATCCATTTGTAATAGGCGGGGTTCTGAACAAACTCCTGTGGCCCAGTGACAGCTAGGTTAAATCAACCTCTTTAGACTTCTTGTTGTGTGCTTCTATTTTATAATGTGTTGCTCGCTACTCAAAACTCAGTGACCAGTTCATCATTATAAACCTTATTAAGCGTAAGCTTATTAACAGAGACAGACTGGAAGGTCACATACACGAATCCCTTAAACTACTCTTAAAACACCATCCAAACCAACCCTTCTAACCCGAACATTACCCCACAACTACAGTCTAAAACCCATTTCGTTTCCTACGCTAATGCCCCCCCCCCCTTCAACACACACACACACACACACACACACACACACACACACACACACACACACACACACACACCTGACCTAACGTTAGAATAAGATCACATGACACCCCCATATTGCGCCTAGCATCCTGCTTGATAACAGGGAGGGAATGATCCTGAAACATGACCTCGGGACATCAGTACTACTAGGAGACACCTCATATGATGTTCAAAGCTAGACACTGAATTCAGAAAGGCAGTTCACTTATACAGCGCTCAAGGATGACCTTTGATGTGGGTCAAAGTTCATCTACTGACGTCTACGGACGTCTCCACCAATCAGCGCCTACCTAACTTCCACGTGGCCTACCCCTTGTATCCAGCACTTCGATGAACAGTAACACCAGACAGAAAGTAGTCCCTTAATTAGAGCAAGTGAAACAATGTTCTACAAGACTCTCCGATAAACAATTAATGTGTCAATTGTAATTACTATCTAAATATCCCTATATGAACCCCTGTCCCCTACATGTACTTACATTACTATTTAACAAAAAATGCGACACTGAATGCGACATGGAAAACGCGAATGCATACGCATGTGATAATGTTCAGTTGAATGCTAGGACTTTTGTGTAAACACATACACATAGCGCACATCATCTATTATCTAAAAGAGCGTGAATTTATTGTATCCTTTATATCGAGTTATCCAATTCCTTTCTAATGTAAACACGAAGAGAGACTAAATTGAAATCCCTGAAGTTACTTTGGAATTGACTGTTTTAAGAGGAGCTGACGGATGTGGGGTTTCCTATGAAGTGAATGCTGATGGAAATATATTGACATTAATCAATTATTTATACAAATCATATTTGCTTCATGCAAATGTACAGTCATAGGTTTACTTTAAGAATGGTTTCAATTTAACCTCGGTAGATATAAACGTGTTGGGGAGTGTACCCACAAGTTAAGCATTTTACTCATTTTAAATACTACTATCATTATTTCAAATCACTTATATCACTATGTTCTCTTTTTTTTAGCAATTCAACACAATTCGTTGGCGAAGTTAACTAGTGCTCAGCCTACCCAGGACACTTGAAATGTTAAAGTGGGTCGTTTCCTTCACTGTGGTACCAATCGCCGTATGGTAAAGAGCCATTGCTGGCAAAACAAGGTAGCTACATGACCGCTGAAATACATGCTAATTTCTATGAACGCGGTAATAATCCATTTACCTATGATTGCTTGTTTCAGTTTAATTCTACGCCACTTTTATCAATATTCCAGCAATATCACGGCAGGGGACATAAGACATAGGCTTCACACATTGTACCCATTCGAACCCGGGTCTTCAGCGTGACGAACGAATGCTTTAACCAGTAGTAGGCTACCCCACCGCCCCGCAATTACCAATGACCATGCATTTTGGAGAGTATGATAAATAGGGTAAACCTGGTCATACAAGATTTGATTTCCAGGGTATATAAACCTGTGTCATAAACCACAACATTACAAATATTTCACACATTATAGATGAAACCGATGGTCATATTTACACAACTCTGTCACATGAATTGTGTTCTGCCAACTGCACTTCTGTTTCGTGACCCGGATAAGAAATGTTTGACGGCCAAATGATACTGGCATTATAACGTTGGTCAATGACATATATTTCTCGCATGGTTGCATTAGGGAACTACTGTTCCTTCGTGTGGTGTTAGTCTCTTTACAGAAACCTCGTGGAAGTTTTAAAGACATGTAAATACACGATATGTAACAGCATTAGTTTTGCAACAAGGTCTTCCTGTTCGACGTCATATTGCATGCATAGCTGAAATCCAGCCATCTTGGCCTCTAAAGCCACTGCATCAAATGTCTTATGATCTCAAAGATGTCAAAACCGTTTTTCATTCCTTCGTAACATCCAAGCTTGATTACAGCAACAGGCTTGTATTTGGATACAGAAACAGCAATTTGGACAAGCTCTAGCGAACACAAAAATCATCAGCTAGAGTAGTTACCCATACAAAGAAGTACGAGCATATAACACCTGTACACAATCAGCCAAGGAGGACATTACTATCTACGTCAACTCTCTTAGTTTCTCTCCTAGTCACACATACTGTCACACACGGTGATAGAACATTCTGCAAAGCAGGAGCTGTGTTGTGGAACACACTCCCAGCCTACTTACGTGATAATACCAACAAGTTTCCGACCTGAACTGAAAACCCTCATGTTCAAAAGAGCATACAACCTAGGGGCTTTGAGCAGTTTTCTGGATTACGACGATATAAAAATGCTCAACTTATTATCATTATAATCTATTTACCTTACACATTTCTATGCATTTCAGACGGATGAGCACCTACAAGTTCAGTGGCAGTGTCTCACATTTCCCCAGACAATGGTTACAATGACACAGGTAAAAATGGTCTACTTACCTGTATATCTAACTGTGCCACACGCTCTGTGTTCTGTGTACGTATGCAACGCTCAAGTCACCACAACTTGCCCTACTTAGATGAATTGCCGTTTGCATGAATGAACTGTCCTGTAACAAGCACGTTGGAATATACCCTCGTCTGAGAAAGCAATTCCTCCGTCCTATCACTAATTGAATAGAATATGCAATAGAGCAATAAGCAGTCGTGCATGCAAATGTTTCTATGGTGCTTTTATGTAACTATATTCATACTGTATAAGCTAACAATTTAAAGAAACCTCTTTGTGCTGGAGTGGTGCTTTCAGTTAGCTCATCTATAGCCCGATTTTATATTATGTTGTTTTTAAATGATTTAACATTTTACACTGAACTAGTTTTAATCAATTTGTGATATTCTAGTCGTTATACTGTCCTTCGCTGGCAGGGTTTTAAATAAGTATACATATGTTCATTTTTAGTACATAACTTTTTGCCATCACAATATGGCTGAAATATTGCCGATGTGACGTTAATATTAACTCACTCACTCACCCATTCAGTTAACTCAAAATTGAAACTCAAGCGGATTAAGGCTAAAAGGAATTATAGCCTGTATCTGAACTGTGTTCACTTAGTGAAAGCTAACTCAAATAACTGAGTTCACCAGGTAAATAAAGTTTGATTTTGTGAACTGTGTTCACTTTGACTTTGATGGATTTTGATGAGATTTCTTACAAGGATTAAGAAGGCATTACCACAACGCAACAGAAATCACCTTCCAGTTGAAATTGTGCAGAAAGGGGGTGCACTGTCTGGTTATAAAATTCCAGATTACTTTTAGAAATCGGCATTCGTTTAGAAGGAGTTTCACTAGCCACGTCTTGACGCTGCGACACGGAAAATCGCCATTGAAAGAATGCACGCTGGAGATTACCAATCTTCTGTTGCCAGGCGTCTGAATGATAGTCTGAGCACGATATCACGGCTTACAAATCGTCACAACCAAACAGGCATAACAAATGACCCTCCCCATACAGGCAGACCTCGAGTCACCACTGTAGCCCAAGATCGCTACATCCGGGTACTACATTTGCGTACTGCCACGGGTGAGAGGACAGCAGCCAAGGTGCCTGGACTTCGGAGGATATCCGGTCAAACTGTACCGAACAGGTTGAAAGAGATTAAACTGAGTGCCAGGAGATCCAGTCGGGCCCGTTCTACGTCGTCACCATGGCGCTCAGCGTCTTCGTTATCTAAAATTATCCACTTGGTTGTATAGACATTTCTTTCTTCTAAACTGATGCAAAAATTCTTTTCTTAAAGTCTATTTCTTGACGAGTTATACGTATTTGAAAATACAACATTTTTGCAACAGATTTCCGAGTTATGCGTTTCTTTTGGGAATAGTATATATTATAAATAAGCAGTGTGTGTGTTTTATTTGTATTTTCGTTTTTTGTTGTTTTGGATGTGTTTTTGGGGCAGTATTCTGAATCATTGAATTCTTCCATTTCAAGAGTCCTACATCATGGAAGTCATGCAGATTTGTAGATATGTACCCTTATATAAACAGGTTATGAATTCTGCCCTTCTTTGATATGACTGAAGCATTTTCTGACTGTGTTGAGATATGCCAATTAAGCGTATTGTGTTATTACGGGATAAAACAGAGAACACGATAAATACCAGGGATGATACATGTATGGACATTAATCACCAACACTATTATAAGTTATGCCGTGAGTTGGAACAAAAGGGAAAGGGAGTCAGTTATCCTTCAACCATCAGACCTGAAATCAATGCATGAAACGCCTATCCTTCCTTGTCAGTCAGCATCGTGTATACCTACAACGATCATCAATACAGGCCCAAACACGAAAATGTAAAATGTCTGAACACAAAAAAAGGGATTCGACACTATTCTTTTTGTATAACCTGTTCAACTCATCTCCACAAGTAACTGAATCTGCACTTTACTGAGAACTGAATGTTTTATCCCATATATAACATATGTTCTCTGTTTCAGTATATTTGTTGAAAAAAACGAGTATCAAAATCCATCTTCTAACAAACAGCTCTTTAGCAATTTGCTTTGCTTCACTTGAACGCCAGACCGCCTCCGTGGTGTAGTGGTTAGAGCGTCCGCCCGGAGAGCGGAAGGTCGCGGGTTCGATCCCGGAAAGCGTCATACCAAAAGACGTTAAAATATGGTACTTGTTGGTCCCTGCCTGGCGCTCGGCATTAGTAGGTACAACAAGGACTGGTCGGCTCGGGAGTCAGTGTAATGTGTCTGAGTGGGGTATTCATGCTTCACTGCGGCATGGTATCTCAGTGGGCTAGCACTATAAAGCCAGCTTAAGTCTGGGCTAGTACAAGCAGCCGCACATACACATACACACGCATGCATGTCGTCATATGAGCGAAATATTCTCAAGCACGACGTTAAACCCAATTTCACCTCACTTTCACCTTACTTGAACGCCATCACGGCTGTGACGAAATGCGCTAAATTTGTGTCACATTAAAGCGCAGTTTAATTTACAGGTGACCAAAGTGAACATTCACACCACATCACATTATTTTAACAACAGTTAATCTTAAATATTTATATTCACCTTAACATCTTACCATCATGCATACCATTTCACACCACTGCGTCTTTTACCTCAACATTTCAATTTATCATATCCTACTCCTCACCCGTTTTAGTGCTCTTATCTATATATTTGTTTACTATCTCAGTGCTTACTGAAATGTGATATGTTGCGATTCCTTGTTTTGTTTTGTCTTATGTGTTTTACGATGTAACCAACATTTCCTTCGGGATAATAAAGTATTATCTTATCTTATCTTACTATAATCGTTTTTTCGTTGTGTTTTTGTACTCTCTCTTGAATTCTCATTGACTGAATTCAAACATACAAACGTGTTTCCCCTCACAGTCAAACAAGCACAACACCCAAAAACATCATGTAAAACCAGCATGTGCGCACTGCATGCATTAGCCAACTGCACGTCCCAAACATATAAAGAGGTCACATATTTCAACACCATGTGAAGTTGTTTTCACTCTCCCCCGCAAAACAATATCCTAACAAATGCACCCTACCTTTTTGTTCAATATTTATTTTTAACCGAAATATACCTCGAAGATAATTAAAATGAACATAGCAAAGAGAACTCAAAATCGTATCACATAGTATATCAACGTGATCAACCAAAATAATTATTTCTTATCAATAAGTTTTCATATTATTTACAAAGAAGCGGTTATTTGTTACAGGTTGCATTTATCACAATAAGGCGTTTGAAAATAATGTTTTGCCTAATTTGCCTCCACGAGGGTAGTCTTAGAGTTCGCCATTATGTTATCATGTTATTGAATTATTTGGTAATCCTGAGTTCACAGGACGCCATTCACCATCAGGTCCCAAGGCACCAAGTATACACTTTCAGCAAAATTTCTCTGTGGCTATTATAAAGTGAAAAGTCAACTCGCATTTGCGAGATATGTTCGTATATATATTCAAAAGGATATATGGAAAAGTACCCGTGAAGATCCGGGGTAGAATAGGTGTTCAGCAACCCATTCTTGTCGTAAAAGGCGACTATGCTTGTCGTAAAAGGCGACTAACGGGATCGGGTGGTCAGGCTCGCTGACTTGGTTGACACATGTCATCGGTTCCCAATTGCGCAGATCGATGCTCATGCTGTAGGTCACTGGATTGTCTGGTCCAGACCCGATTATTTACAGACCGCCGCCATATAGCTGGAATATTGCTGAGTGCGGCGTAAAAGTAAACTCACTCACTCACTCAATATATGGAAAAGTAGCCTTTGTCTGGACGGTTTGCTTGGCCAAGCTGGCTTTCGAGAACATTCAAGAAACGTTTTGTGGTCCAAGGGAGATAACTCTTTTTGTTCCTTAACCAGCTGATCACATTCGTCACTACTCGTCCTTTTCCGTACCTCTGTCGACGAATGTTATGTGCGAAAATACGACAAACCAATCAGAACGCGCGTAATGAGTGCGGTACTTTGATAAAAAATAATCCTCAGTACGTACTTAAATCGTTTATGGCATTACGTGTTTGTTAAAATCATGAAAAATATGTATCAGAATATTAAAAATACAAAGATTATAGCTTACATAATTGTGTTGCCTGATGTGAAGTTATTAAAAAAAGAAAGGGGTCATGGACGATGAGACATTCAAATACACGCGTTTATTTACATAATGGTTGTCCTGGACCCAGTTGAGTCTTTTTCTGACGAACTTACAGGCTTGTTTTGGTGATTGTACGTGCGCTTTCCGACATTTTTAGGAATCATAATTTCATAAATTGCTAATTATAAATTCTTTCAAAACAATATATTTATTTTATTATTAACTAATAAACTTCAATCTTTACCACCGGACTTACATTTCACATCTTTGGGGATATTTTAGTCTGACGTTTCCGGGGTCACTTATATTTTTTCAACTAATTCATTTGAAACTTCCACCAGGGATATGGCAGCAAGGTTACACGAATGTTTGGTTTGAGAAATATTTTAAAGTCATTTTTGTTTATCTGTTTTGGAATTAAAGGTAGCTGAAAAATATTATTTTATTAAACAAATCCCATGTGTCATTCTTAAACCCCATTTAGCTGGTAATACTTACGTTAGAATATGTGTTTAAGAAACATATTTCTCCTCTTAGTTGTATCCCTCCCGAGGGACACGAGTCGGTATTCAGCTTGTCTCGGAATAACACGAGTTTGTCACGAATGCGAACAACCATCTGAACTTAAATAAGCGCATGAAATTCCATATAAATCCTTCACAAAGTAACACCTGCGTCATCCTCTTATATGCCGGCCTTTCCTCAACTGGACAATGGATAGAAAATGTGAAACGCCTGATATCCGAAATGGGATTCGACACCGTTCTTCCTAGAGAGGCTGACCTACCGGATCATTTGTTAAAAGTATGTATCAGTTGCATGCTGCCGAAACCAGCGACGTGGTGTTGCTCCTTCATGTATCATAACTTCTTTGAGTAGCATTTTTAGAAG